CCTGGTAAGAAAATATAGTGTGAGAATCTGTGACAGTGAAAGCAAGAATAGAAGAACGAAGGATGAATATATATATATATTTTTTAATTTTATATATATCATATATATTTCTCAAAGATGATGTGAAATGAAAGTAAAACAATACACAAGAAAAGGTCGGCGTTGTTTATCGCGAAAACATTAAAAAAAAAAAAAAAAAAAAAGAACCAACTTAGAACTAGCTTTTGATCATCATCCTCTTCGTTTCATCGAATTTTCTTCTTCAACTAGTTTAATATCCTCCAGTTTATCGATTTACTTACATTAACCTTTTTGAATATCAAAGAAATTTTCCACTATCGGTCATAACCAAATGTGGGCGTTCTAACGCGTACCAAAAATAGGGATGATGACTAGAAAAGTAAACCCAATAATATTACCTTTCTTTCTTTACTGTTTCATTTATCAAATTATTTCCAACAAACCTTTTATACCTGTTATCCAATATACCTACAACACAATTTATATTCCAAAGGGTTTCATTTTTTATTTTATTTTTATTTACTTATTAAAAACTAATAAAAGGGTTAATATTCATCTGCTGTTTCATGCTTTCTTCAACGTTTGATCAATTAACATTTATTTTGACCAATCACACATGTTTCAAATATTATTACGCATATATCTATCTATCTATATATATATATATATATATATATGTTTGTACCTGAATGTATGAGGTAATGGTATGCGTGTGTGTAATCATGTGCCATGTGCCACGCACAGTACTCTCATCTCTTCCCCTTCCTAATCCCCACCCTTTTCCCAATGTTCCCTCTCCCTAGCTATGTATGGCATTTCTCTGTATATCTGTCTGTCCCTTTCTCTCTCCCACTCTTCTCCAGTTCGTTCATTCTCTCTATCTCTTTCCATTAGAATGTTCGTTATTTACTACGTCGTTCCCTATCGCAACTCGACGAGAAGGAAGGTGAGTAACGGTGCTTGGCGTATCGTTGCATTCACAATATATACCACACCACGCCGTTATACTAGTTTTACCAGCTGATATACTTGTCCTATAGAAAAGACAAAGATAGATTATACCTAGATATTATATACATATGTATATATTTATATTAGGATGTTATCTGGTCACGCATTAGTAGGGTATAGGGTAGGGTGTTTTAGAAAATGTTCATTTAATATTATTCTAAATTATTTTTTAGTAAAAACACACAAAATAATATCATAATTAGAATGGAAACACCGAAAATAATAATAGTTAACAAAAAAATATAAAAAGTAAGGTTAGTTGTGTCATGTAAATCTGAAGAAGAAAAAAAAAACCTGAAAAAATTGAAATTGCAATACACCGCGCCATCTATCGAGAAAATGATAGAACCTAAAGACTTAGGTTATAACTTCTAAATAATAAATCCTTAAAATTTGCGATAAAAACTATCCTATGTATTAATTAAGAATCACATAAAATAATAATAGTAATAAAGAAAAAATATAAAAAGTAAGGTTAGGTCGTATGCAACTCTGAAAAAAAAAAAACCTAGACGTGAATATATCGAAATAATTGAATTGCAATACAGTGCCATCTATTGAAAATTTACAATACTTACAGACCTAAATTAACCTCTAAATAATAAATGTATTAAGTAATCTGAATTTTTAAATTTAACAAGACAATGTTTACATAAATCCAATTTAAATAATCACAACATTAAAAAAAAACACGCACACACACACAAAATTTAGAATAGGTTGCTACTGTTGGTTACTTGATGAAACAACACCTATATTCACCTGTATTCCTTTCGATGTTTCCCAAACGTCAAGGTAGTATCCTATCTAAGGTTTCAAGTTGACAACCAGCGGGCTAGAGGTAATTGGAGAACGGAAAACAAAGTGGCGTAACCATAGCAACACCCCCATCATCCCTTATTCGCGATCTCTCCGTTTGAGCATACACTTCTGTGATATGCCACGGTGACTGGAGGAGGATACCTTATGCTAACCGTTGCATCAGTATTATTCCATACCCAATGCACTTTTCAACATAACTTTCTCTTTGAACTTATGGTTAGCATCGTCAGTTTATCATTGATGAAAATTGTCGATGGAAAACACCTGACAAATGATTCACGATTTTATTTTTAACCATAAAACATTTTTTCTCTTTTTACTGATGATATCCTAGACAAATATATTCAATAATAAATCATGTTCATTAGGTCTAGGTTTTTTTTTAAATTGGTACGTCTTCATAGATACAAAAATCACATTGGTGTTAGAAATGCAATGAGTTTCTGCAAGAGTATAAAATAACTATATGTGTGACGTCAATAGAATGACAGGTTAAACGCGAGAATATGGGAAGGTTCTAGAGTTAATTGCTTGTGTATATGTGAGTGGGTGTGTGTGTGTGTGTGTGTATGTATGCATGATGAAATATGTACGCGGATCAATAGTTATTGCGAGATGCGAACATGTACCCAGACTTCCTTAAAGGGTTTATTTATTCTAGTCTAGGAATGCATCATTGCATCCATGTTGTTTTTATTCTATGTCAAATTTGAAGTAAATAAATTACTTGAAAAAAAAAAAAATATATACAGTACGATCATGATCAATATCGCAATATGGTTGAGAAGTTGTTAGTAATCTGAGGTTTAAACATTTCTCAGATTACTCATAGTTCCCAACGATTATTATACCACTTGATCTGACTCTAGTTGTATCAATAACACTTGTCTATTATTTTATCCCTATATCTAGTTTCTTTTTTCTATCATATTTGATTCCTTCAAATAATAAGACGACAGATGCTGTGTTACGTTCGATAAAAATCCAATAACGATCAAAACGAACCTAATAAAACCTAGTCGAGTCAATCCTAGTCCCCCCACTCTAATGTCGCGTCTTATTGGAAGATAGATCCATAACGGGCCATTATAATGGCTCCTAGTAGATGCCAGATTAATCGAGTGTCCCTTTTGTTGTTTTTTTCTTCACAGTGTCTCTTACAAGAGACTAAGAACGGTGAGATTTGATGCCCTCTAAAAACCTGGTCGAATTATCCTAGTCCTCCCACTATAATGGCGCGTCGTATTAGAAGATAGATCCCTGACGCGCCATTATAACGACTTCTAGTAGATGCCAGGTTAATCGAGTGTCCCTTTTGTTTTTTTTTTTTTCTTCATTGTGTCTTTTACGAGAGACTAAAAACGGTCTTGGGTAGAATGGTGTAAGATGTGGTGCATCAACTCTCTCTCTCTCTCTACCTCTCTCTCTCTCTCGTTTGTGAACAATAGGAAAGAGAATTTCCCCAACCTTCTTCTTCCTTTCCTTTAACGTTGGCACGTTAATATTGCCGTTGCTGCGAATGCAGTTTATTCGTGTGATGGTAGTGGTGATGCTGGTGCAACGGCAACGAACGAACGGGGCCCTCAACGAAACCTTTGAGCCGCGTGAATAGGCCGCCGCCTTCCGACTACCGGAAGTGCTGCTTTGTGGCTTTGATTATTCCTCTTTCGTATTGGGAACATCAATATATATACACCCTACCCTCTCCCTCCCCCCTCCCTTCTCCCCCCACCCCTTCCCTCATTTTCCTCGTGCTTATGTTCCGTGCACATGCGCGAACGCTGCGTTTTGTTCGTTTCTTTTGATCGACACGACGAAAAGTTAGGTTAGATTTCTAAAGGGTTTGAAAGTTAGGGGAGAAAACTTTGAAAATTATTTTCCAAAATGAACGTACACACTCGTTGAATATTTTTTTTTTTTTTTTTTGAAGACCTTGTAAATTTGTAATACAAATACGATTTTTTTAAAAAGAAATTTGTTAACTTGATGCATAATTGGAATGATATTTTAATTGGGGGATCTGTTCAAAATGTTTAAACAAAAGAATAAAGAAATTGTTTAATTTATATAATAGTTAGGTTATAATAATTTATTGATTTTTTTTTTATGGTGACACATAAGAGCTCTACAAGTTGTTAGTACGTTTAGATTACAAAAAATGGGGAATTTAAAAGTGTTGAGTTGACTATGGTGGTGGTGGTGGTGGTGGTGTTCGTGTAATGGCGGCAAATCGAAAAAACAATTTCGATAAGCAAAGTTTGTTGGAAAAGACCGATCGTATTATAAAAGTTACGTTTCAAAGCTCTGTCGATTTGTTTGAAGAAAAATAAAATGAAATTTATTTAAACGAGTACTTTGTAGTCGAGTTTGTACTTTTAATTGGAAAAAGATATGATATATATATATATATATATATATATATTACGTTTTCTTTTTTTGTAATTTTATTTATGTTCCTTGTGTGTATGTAACACGATCGAGTAGCTCTCATGTTTCATGTGTCATGTGATCTCGCGCCTTTTATGTTTGAAATTTTGATACGTTAGTTTTAATAACAACGTCTCACATCACAGACACATAGGACACAAACTGGTTAACAAAGTAGCCATTGGTTAAAATACGATTGAAAGAAAAATTATTTTTAAATTATACGAAGTTACAATTAAGATTTTCATCAGATAATTTTGCGTATCGTTAAATCTTTATCTAGATAATAATTCGAACGAGTTAATTTTTTTTTTGTATTCAAAATTAAGAAATATTTATTTCAATTAAATACAATTTTTTATTGATTTATTTAATCAATGAAAAAGGTTGTTATCATTGTTTTTCTATTCTACGGTAAGGTGGTAAAAGAAAAAAGGGTTGAAAAGATACTCTATGATGATAAACCCTCGTCGGTAAAAGTGTCGATAATGTAGGAAATGATATGATCGATTTCAACAAAGATATATATATATATTTTTTTTTTTTTTTTTATTAGAAAATATTAAAAAGGGATTAAACGGTATCTAATGTCGATAAAAAAGAATAACTCGTATTATTATTTAAATAATTTATAATAATTGTGTGTGAACAATTTTTGATAAGTGTATGACTGTTACCATTTATGTTATTTACTTTATTTTTTTCTTTTTCTTTTTCAGCTAAGAAACAAAATGGCACTGCCCTTCGAACAAACAGCCTGGGATCGGGTGCAAGAACGCCTCCCCTTGAAAGAAAAAGCAAATTCTCGGCCCTCGGTAGACTTTTTAAACCTTGGAAATGGAAGCGGAAAAAGAAATCGGACAAATTCGAGGCCGCTTCTTTGTGTAAGTAAAAAAATAAAAAAAATAAAAAAGAAAACAAATATGGAGGATTGTTATTTTTGGTTTGTTTTTTAACTTGTTCTCTTTTTTTGTTTTTGTTTTTTTATAGCACTCGAAAGAAAAATTTCTGTACGGGCTAGTAGAGACGAATTGGTACAAAAAGGAATCTTATTACCTGTTATAAGATCTACGTCGTTTCCGGAAAATGGTGAGTTGTTTAAAATAATCAAAATTAATAATTAAAAGTGTAACAATTCTAATTTGATAAATTTTTGTTTTATTGGTCGTACATTTCTTACAATGACTTTGATTTATATAATTTAATTTCAAGAACATTGAATTAATTGTTACACCTAACCTATCACACACACACATACATATGATAGTTTTATTTTAATTAATAATATTGTTCAAATTTCAAATTTTGGCGGAAAACATTATTACACACATTGTTCCAAGGAAATCAAATGAAACACTGAATTAATTGTTACATATGATAATTTTATTTTAATTAATAATTTTGTTCGAATTTCAAATTTTGGCGGGAAACATTACATTGTTTTTTAAAAGAAGTCAAATGAAACACTGAATTATTTTGTTACACTTAACACACATATGATTTTTTATTAATTTATTTTAATTAAAAATGTTGTTAAAGATATTACATTGTTTAAAGGAAATCAAATTCGAATATGTTACTTTTAGTCTTTCAAAAAAGCTTCTTAGTTTATTTCTTGCTATAAACAAGAAACTTAACGATCAAATTAGTTAACCTTCACTGGTGGGTTTGCAAATTTTCCTTTACTAAACTAGAACTTGTCAAGTTTCGTATGATTGATAGTTATTCTCATGTTACTTAGCACAATACAACGACCCCATTAAACTGGCACATTAATTTCGATCCATCTAAGAAACACTTTCGGCCATTAAGACTCTTAAACTCATTTCAAATTTTCTTCCATGTTAAAAGAAGTATTTTTATATTAAGTTTAGTAATTCTTATAATTTTTTTACATTAACAAAACTTAACCAAGTTTTACGAAAGACCTAACCTCACTTCAATGATATTTTATATATAATTTGATCTTCTTTAAGTTTTTTTTTATACAAATGTGCATCAAAAGCTCTGTGTATTTATAAACATAACGTTTGCAATTTAATACAACTATTTTTCAATTGTATTAACTGAAATATACATTTATACAGTCATAGATAATAAAAACCATGTCTTTGTATATTGAAATAATTAATTTAAATTATAAATCTATTTCTATTGCATTTTAGAAACGATAGGTGACTTGACGGATACGCAGAAACCGCCTAGTCCTCAATTAACGCCTCAACAACAACAACAACAACAGCAACAACAATCACAGCAGCAACAACAACAACAGCAGCAGCAGCAGCAGCAACAACAACAACAGCAGCAGCAGCAGCAGCAACAGCAGCAGCAGCATCAGTCGCAACAAACGCAATCGCAACAACAGCAACAACAGCAGCAGCAACAACAACAACAACAGCAACAACAACAACAACAACAGCAGCAATCCGTTAACATAAGTAACGGAGCTGGTGGAAACACTTGTGTGCCAACGTCAACGTCAACCGTTAGCTTACAACAATCACAACAAGTATCATCAAGTACACCGACCCCAACGACTGCCAATTCACATTCTAGTGGGTCGCCCAATAATTCGTCTCCTCATCCTCCACCTCATTATCCAGGAATACCTTCATCACAGGGAGGACAGACGAACGGAAATACTCAAGGTAGGTTTGGAATTCCTAACGATGTTTAAACTCCTTCAAAATGCACTAAACTTAACTAACCCCGTTTCAAATCGATTCGTATTTTTATGCATGTTATAATAGTGATAATAATAATAATGATAATATCATCAAGGCCGCTTATTATCGCTTCTTATTCGAGTAATAAAGCTCTGTCTCTCTCTCATTGGAAGCTCTATAGAAACCGAGAGATATCGTGAGAACATTCGATGACCTAATTATCGCCTATTATATACCAGAAACATTATTGATAGGGTCTAGTGGTTCCAACATAACCTCAACTTCGAACGTGACTGATCGATGTTCCAGTCAATTTCTTCATCCAATTCGTGTCATCGACTTTTATGTCGTTGTTGTTCACTAAAAAAAAACTTTTGCATACTTACAAGACAAACGTTTCAGTTATGTTTTTAGATATAATTAGTAAAATATGTATAAATTCAGCATTTATAAATTTAACAATTTCAAAAGATTTGATTTTTCAAATTGATCGGTGTACGAATACTTTTTGTTACTCACACTGTACATGTTATAATTTAAGAAATTTTATAATTGGATAGATAAAATGGATGATTTAATGAATATATTTAATCTTTTTGAAAATTATTTAATTTTATAGGTTAGGTAGGTCCTTTGTTATTTTGGTAAAATTTTGTTTATTTACAAAATCCCGTATAACGTGTACGAATTTATTTTCAACGTGTAACACAAACAACTAGGTACTTTTAACGTTAATTAAAATTGTTTAATATGAAAAATATGATTAAATAGACTACGTTAATCATGCGAGAGTAATAATAATGCATAAAAATACAAGTAAAAATAAAAATAAATAAAAAAAAATAAGAGACGAATAATCTTAGATGTGAATTGCGACGTTCAACCGCGGATGAATTCACACTCACGTGACATGAAGACGACGACAGACGAAAAATAGGGGGTAGTAAAGGGTGAAAAAGACAGATATATATATATATATATATATATAGTTATAGAAAAAAAGGGAGACGTAGAATGCAATCCGTTGTGCAAGAGGATGCAAACAGTGAGGTAAAACAGTGCTGTAGCCAGCCATACATATATACAGGATGTTACAAAAAAAAAGTATTTAATATTTACATGATTTATATGATAAGATAGATGATTTATTTACTTGTATAAGTAAAAAAACAAATCTTCAGCCCGATTTTTCAACCCGTTTGAATTTACTGTAATTTTGAACAATCTTTGAATTTAATATAAATGTATTAACAATTTTATAATATTCTACAAAATAATTATATTAATATGCTTGTTTCATTTATTTGACAAATATATGTACAATTATTTCAAAGATTTTATTTAAAAAAAAAAAAATCTTATGTAACTTGAATGAATAGTAAATAAATAATTCAATTATAATGTTAACATATAAAAATGTTCATATCTAAGAAAAAAAGGGTTGACTTTTTGTTTCTACTCTCGGTAGCTATATGACTTTATGGATTATATAAATAATGAATGATTTTTTGCAACACCCTGTATATATATATATATACATTGCGTCTGCTTTATCCTCCCCCTTCTCGTGGTTGCAAACCATGAGCTGCAAAGAAACGATCGATACACCTTCCTGCATGCTGCACACACGCGTTTACCTACGCGTTCTTCTTCTACCTTTGTGTAAATGCGTGTTCAAATGAAACGTATATATATATATATATATATATATATATATATATATGTACACATACAAAAAAAAGAAAAAGATAGTCCAACGATCTTTTACACGAGAGTTTCTTTGCCTCGTCTTAATTTCAAAAGATACGCAGCAACTTAAGTACACACGTCTAATTAGTTTCACACCATTTGACCCTTTTTCAAACCCTTTTTCTTGTTGTAATTATCATCAACCGTCCCAGTTATTATGACACATAAGGTATTTCAAAAATTATAACTTCTGCATAATAAGATGAAGAAAATAAGAATGAAACTTTCGTGTCAAAATATACAATCGCTGAAAATGTTACCTAGTATCAGACAGATTTCACTTCGAACAACTAGCATCGGAAATATTTAAATCATCCGACATCGATCACATATGCAGACGTCTGAACATTCAGAAATATCTGCACATACTTCATGAGCCCACCCATGCCAGTTGGAACACTGTATTCAGTCTTCGTCGTAGTCCACTAAGCATACTACGCAAGTAGTTCTTTCAGTTTCAAATATCTCAGTCGGTGGCTGTTTTTTCTTGTCTCAATCTCCACTTTTTCTTTTAGCTTTTACTCTATTGGCTTGTTTCCCCTTGACTTCACTTCTTCCTTACTGACTGACTCTGAATCTGTTTCTGACTGACTTACTAGCTCTTACTCGGACTGACCGACTGTCTCTGACTGACTTATTAGCTCTGACTTTGACTGACTGACTGATTTGGACTCTTACTC